ATTGCCACTCCGATCCTCGAGACGCTGTGCATTGATATTCTCAGGTGAGTTTCTTTTGTTTGCTTTTTGCGGGTTTTTCAGTATTCTCACTCAGAGTAATCTTTACACTTTTTTGCAGAGGTCTCTTTCACGAGTTTGAGCTTCTGACGACGGCCATTCCGCCGCCGTCAGCCACTGCTGTTCTCCAGGCTGGACAACAACAACAACAGGGTGACCACCACTTTTCCGTGGAAGAGTTCCTCACTGGTTATCCAGTGTCCAGCAGCTCCTCGCCCACTGACTCTGATGCGGAGCAGTGCATCAGCGATCTCGGAGACGACGACGACCAAGAAGTAGGTAACACTAGCGGCGATGAAGACCGATCTTCCTCGGACAGCGAAGCGACGGAGACTGCCTCGGAGAATGAGGTCGACGAGGACGATGACGATGAGGCGTTGAACAGCTCTTCTTCCTCGCTCTCCACCTCAATTGCCGCGGCCGTCGGGTCCACTTCGGCGCTCTCCANCCTCGCTCTCTACCTCAATTGCCGCCGCCGTCGGGTCCACTTCGGCGCTCTCCAGCTCAGAGGATGATGAGGAGGAGGAAGATGAAGTTGACGATAAAGACGACGACGACGACGACGACGACGTGAGCAGTCGCAAGTCTCATTCAGTGTCTGATGATGAGGACGCTGAAAAGGTGGATGCTCAGGCAGATGACCAGGAGGAGGTCGGCCACGACCTGGTCGACTACCAGGTGACCACCACAAAGCCCCAGCGACCCGGGAAAACTCGCAGCATTAGCAGCTCAAAACAGGCTCGTTCTGAACAAGGATCAAAGAAACACCGCCGGCCGCACACCGGCGGAACAGCGCGGTCGGCGGGCAGGAAGTCCTCCGCCAAGTACAGTCACGGCCGCAAACTGAGCGGCAGCTCCAACAGCTCCAAGCGGACGGCCATCTCCGCCTCGGCGCCCACGGTCGCCTCCGTTGACCCGTCTGACCTGAGCGCCGAGCAGCAGCAGCAGCAGGTGATGATGTCGTCCAAGTCGTCAAAGCTGGAGTCGACCGCCAACCTCTCCGTCTCGTCCAGTCTTCTCGTGGAAACGAGTGGTGTTGATAAGGGCTTCAGTGATTCAACCAAAAGTGAGAAGATCCACAGCTTCAGCAAGCTTTCCGATGCGGAGGCGAAATCTCTCGGTTTAAGCAGCGGAGGGGGCGTCGTCCTCCGCTCCGGCCGCCCGGCCTCCCTCTGCGACCCGCACAGCAGCTCCGAGCTGGAGGACTCCGGCGAGGAGAGCTCCAAGAAGCTGAACCGCCTCAACCTCTTCACCAACTTCTCCAACAACGTCAAGACGAAGTCGGCGACGATGATTCGCAAGCTGCAGCGACCTTTTGATGGTGGCAGCAGCAATCGCAGTTCCACGACGGAGCTGCCGCCCAGAGGCAGTGCTCCGCCGCCGCCACCGGAGAGCAAGATGAAGACGGCGCTGAAGACGTTGCCGCTGGTCAAACAACTAAAACATCAGCTGGACAAATCGAAGACCAAGAAGAAGCTGGCCAAAAGTCGGCTGTCCGCCTCGGCGACGCCCAGTCTGATGGGCGCAAATGAGCTGAACGCGGCCAATTTGGCCTCAACGGCCGGCGCTGCATCAACCGCATCAGCCAACGCAGCTTCCGCTTCCGCTTCCGCCTCTTCTGTGCCTCGCATTACCATCTTCGAGGATGAGCACTGCTTTCAGCTGCCCCACCAGCACTACTACTGGAACCAGTACTACCAGCAGCTGGACAAGTTTCAGCGACGGGAACTGCTCAAAGAGCTCGACCGGGTGATGCACCTGCTGATCACGAACATCGGCGTCGAGTTCATCTGGAGCAAGTTGGCGCAGATCTTCCAGGTGGCCACCGAGGAAGCGGTGTCGCTGAAGCGGCTGCTGCGCCTCATCATCAAGAACGTCCGCCAGGTGGACCTGACGACGACGATGCTGTACGGCAGCTCGGATGAGGAGGAGGACTCAGAGGAGGGAGGGTCGAGCTTCGATGACGATGACCACAATTCTGAGGAAGAGGATGAAGATGATGATGAGTACAACCGTCGAGCTCGTCACTCGAGCGACTCCGACGACCCCGACTTTGATCCCACAAACGAGGGCGGAGAAGGAGGAGGAGGAGACACTGATGCGGACAGCGCCTCAATCGACTCTTCGCTCTCCTGGGCCAAGTCCCTCACCTCCTCGCTGCTGGCGGAGTTCATCACCGAATGTCAGCAACAGCTGCGGGCGGAGCAGCACTACTCCGAGCGAAGCCTGGGGGTGAACCTCAGAGGTGGACCTAAAGCGGAAGGAGGACATCGAGGAGGAGGAGG